TTCTCCTGCCTCAGCCTCCAAGTAGCTAGGACTACAGGTGCCCACCACAATGCCCAGCTATTTTTTTTTCACTCTGGCTCAGGCTGGTCTCAAACTTGTGAGCTCAGGCAATCCACCCACCTCAGCCTCCCACAGTGCTAGAATTTACAGGAGTGAGGCACCCGCACATGGCCTAATAGACAGTCTTCTAATATTGTTTTTTTATATTCTAATTTCAGAAGTCTGCATTCATCCTCTGACCCTGTCAAATCAAACAATGTAGCTTAGGTCACAATACAAAGAGTAAGAAGGAAAAAAGGAGGGGATCATTAGCCCTTCTTTGGATCATTTCTAATTCTTCCCACAAATCAAAAACAGACCAAATTTAATTCTGGAATGCACCTGGAGAAGACTGCTATTACCCTGACTGTATGATCTGACTGAAGTCAAACTAAAACTTTCTCTCTCAAAAAAAAAAAAAAAAAAAAAACTTTCTCTCCTAGAAATCCACAATTGGAACTAAGACTATAGTTCACTCTGGGCTCATCTCTAAAAGGGAGGGAAAAAAATACCAAGAAAGTATGGGTGGCCATCTTTCACCTGCAACAAAGGTTAAGGAGCAGAGGAAACTGGTCCAGAGAAGAATGGACCAGATGTGCAAAGAGTAGCTGTGTGGACTTCCAATGGCCTCCAGTCCCTGATCCCAGCCCTGTGGGGGAACACTGCAGCCTACTTACAATGCATTACTATGACAGCTGGCTTGAGCTGGGGGCTCACACTTGCAACCAGTAAAATCTAACCAGTCCCCAATCTGCTCTGCCTCCTGTATTCTCTAAACAAATGGCACCATTACCCTCCCAGGTGCCTGAGGCAAAAGGTACAGGGGTAAGCCCTGGAATCCTTTCCTTCACTGGTAACATCTAATCAATCTTCTAGTCTTACCACTTCTACCCACTAAACCACACACATATACCTGATCCTCCAGTTCTCCCACACCCCTGCAGACCTTCATCCAGGCCACCCGTCTCTCTCTCACACTGTGTCTCTGCCAGGCTTGCTCCCTCTAAATCTCTCACTATTCTGAGGCTTCCTGCCTAGTTTTCTAGGGCTCTTTACCCCAGAATGAAGTACAAAGACCTCAGCACAGCATCCAAGGCCAATTATCATCTGGCCTTAGCCTCTCTCTCTGGCCCCATTTTTCACCTTTAACAATGTGCTCTGGCCACTGTGCCCACTGGAGGTTCCCCCAAAGCACTTTTCTTCTCTCTTACCTCCACTGAGATATGCTCCTCCCCTCTCTGCCTGCCTTTATCTGACTGCCTCCTACTCATCTATCTCATCTCTGTTTAGACATCCCCCCTCCTAAAAGCCTCCCAAGACTGGACAGGCATCTGTTTGTTTTTTTTT